GCTGCCTCTACTTTTCCTCCCCCAGACGGCCTGGACAAAATTGTTGATGCTGCTCCTGAGTTTCCCTCTGTTACTGAAAGTTGATGTTGAAAGGATTTGAACTTTTTTGCTTTTTTGTTTTGATGTATCGTGGCTCGGTCTCTAGGATGAGCTTTCTTTCTGCACATGCCAAGACAATTTTTCTTTTCTCTTTTCTTTTCTTTGCTGCTGGTTATGAGGCCATCTGTGCCTTTTGTTGGATGATAGAATTTTCTCTTTGAACTTGCAGTCTGATGCTGTTTGGCTTTTATGTCTGAATGTTTTCTCTACTGCCTGCCCCCGATCGAGCACTGTTGGGACCTCGGGGCCGAATAGATGCTCGGTCTGGTTTTGTACTGCTTTTAAATAGATGCTTTATCTGATTCTGTACTGCTTGCCCCCGGCCGAGCATTGTTGGGGCCTTGGGGCCGAACTGATGCTCGGTGTGGCTTTGTACTGTTTGCCCCCGGCCGAGCACTGTTGGGACCTCGGGGCCAAACTGATGCTCAGTGTGGCTTTGTACTGTTTTCCCCCGGCCGAGCACTATTGGAACCTCGGGGCCGAACTAATGCTCGGTGTGGCTAACGGATATGTGGTATGGCTGTGCTTGAGTTTGTAAGTGGATCTTACTTAGGTCCAGGTTGGTTTTAAAAGAAAACAATTGTTTGCCCCCACCTGGAGCTAAGTAAGATTGGTACTGAAGATTGTGCTCTTAGATAGAACTGCTTAAGTCTGTTGCAACTTTGATAGCGCAGATGCGTTTGAATGAGATAAAGGCATGAAGAGGTGTCTTACTCAGGTCCAGGTTGGTTTGAAAAAACAATTGTTTGCCCACACCTGGAGTTAAGTAAGACTAATGCTGGGAGTTTACTCCTGACAGAGCCTGGTCACGCTTGTTCCAACTCTGTTTGTTTAAATCAGTACTGAAGTGTTGACGTGTTGGTACTTAAGGAATTCTGTGGATTCAAAGACGTTTACTTAAGATATGTTAGTGTGGTTTCCACCAAGCAATTCCACTTGGCTATAGTCCAATTTAGTTGCCAAACATTATTTCACCAAGCAATTCCACTTAGCATGTTTGAGTGGTAACCAAATTTAAATTTCGTCCAGTCATTCTGAAACTAAGTCCATTTGGGTTAAGACCAAAGTTAACTCCGTTTGATAAACATCAAAGCTAATTCCATTTGGTGAGGACCAAAGCTAATTCCGTTTGATAATCATCAAAGCTAATTCCGTTTGGTAAGAACCAAAGTTAATTCCGTTTGGTAAGAACCAAAGCTAATTCCGTTTGATAAACATCAAAGCTATTTCCGTTTGGTAAGAACCAAAGCTAATTCTGTTTGATAAACATCAAAGCTAATTACAAGAATTTGATAAATTTGAGAGAAGTGGGGAAACATTTGCATTGGTCAACAGATAAATGCCTTTACATTCTGATAGAGAGAGTGGGGGACAATTCTATCGATAGTATTTCTTGAAATTTGCTACGTTCCAGGGCCGAGGTATAGCTCTGCCATTAAGATCCTCTAGGTAGTAGGCTCCATTTCCAACGACAACTGTGACTTTGTAGGGACCTTCCCAGTTAGGCCCAAGTTTGCCCTCGCCAGGTACCTTTTTGTGATCCATAACTTTCCTCAAGACCAATTCTCCTGGTGTAAATTGCCTTGGGAAAACTTTTTGGTTGAAACTCTTGATGAGCTGCTGCTGATACGTTATAAGTCTGAGGTCGGCACAGAACTTTCTGAAGATCTTACCATCAAACTGTGTTCCATTGTCCGCAATTAGTACCCGCGGGATGCCGAAACGCACCACCACATTTCTCATAACAAACCGCTTCGTATCTGCCTCTTTTATATTTGCCAATGCCTCGACTTCAACCCATTTAGTAAAATAGTTAGTTGCTATAATGAAGAATCGCTTGTTCCCAGTGCATCGCGCCAATGGTCCAACAATATCCAAACCCCATTGGGCAAAGGGCCATGGGTTGGTGAGTGGGGTGAGAGGTTTGGCTGGCTGATGAATGAATGGAGCAAACCTCTGACATTTATCACACTTCTGTACGTACTGTTGAGCATCTTGTTTCATCCGTGGCCACCAATACCCGTGAGTGAGGGCTCGATACGCCAGCGACCTTTCGCCAACGTGGCATCCGCAAATCCCATCGTGAATTTCGTAGAGAACATTCTTGACCAGATTTGGATGCACACAAAGAAGATAAGGGCCAAGATAGGAACGTCTGTACAGCTTCCCGGATGGTGAGATCCAAAACCGAGCTGACTTGTGTCTGACTTTGTTGGCTTCCTTCTTGTCTTCGGGGAGAGTACCAGATTTTAGAAAAGCAAGTATTGGATCCATCCAACTCGGCTCTATGCTGCTGCAGAGGACTAGAGATGCAATGCTTGGCTTTGGCACGAACTCAACCCAAACTTTTCTGGTATCTCTGGTATCCACTGATGAGCCGAGACAAGCCAAAGCATCAGCATGGCCGTTTTTGTCCCGATTAATTCGTTCCACTCGTATGGATTGAAACTTTTTGAGTAAGCCTTTGGCCTTGCCTGTGTACATGGCCATTCTTTCATCCCGTGTTTCGTAGACCCCAGAAAGCTGGTTTACCACTAGCTGTGAATCGCTGAAAATAAGAAGTTGTTTTGCACTAAAGTGTTCGGCACTGCGTAAGCCAGCCAACAACGCTTCGTACTCTGCCTCGTTGTTCGAAGCCTTCCAACCGAGCCTGAGAGCCTGTTCCCAGATAAATCCTTCTGGTGAGATAAGTACTACTCTTGCCTCCGAACCCTCGGTTATTGGATGACCCGTCAACATAGAGCTGCCAAATGTTTCCGATGAAGAGTTTCCAGGCTTCCGAAGCGCAGGGCTTTCCTTGTTCGTTGATGCGTGGCACCTGTACCGAACTTGGGTTCCCTGGTTCGGTACTCTGGGTGGAGCCAAATTCTGCGACGAAATCTGCCAAGACCTGGGCCTTAATTGCTGTCTTGGGTTGATACTGAATGTCAAACTCGCCAAGTTCTACTGCCCATTTTGCTGTTCTGCCAGAGAAATCAGTGAAGACATTGATGGTATGCCCCTGGAAGTAATGTTGTAACTTCCTCGAGGCAATAAGCAGTGCGTAAGCTAACTTTTCCAATGGTAGATACCATGTCTCGGCATCTAGTAAAGTCTTACTAACGTAGTATACATGCCTCTGTTCCTTGTTAACCTCTCGAATTAATACTGCGCTTACGGCATGATCTGAGACTGCTAGATAGAGGTACAGCTCCTCTCCTGGCTCTGGAGTAGACAGAAGGGGAGGTGTACTGAGTTATTTTTTGAGACTTTGCAGTGTTTTGGTGCACTCGGAACTCTATTCAAATGCTGCCCTTTTCTTTAAAAGCTGGAAGAAGGGCTTTATCCGATTTGAAGATTTGCTGATGAACCGATTCAGTGCGGCCGCCATTCTGGCCAGTTTCTGCAGCTCCTTAGCCTTTGTTGGTACTTCAAGATCTTGTATTGCTTTTATTTGGTCCGGATTCGCCTCAATTCCTCTGTGAGTGACTATATATCCCAAGAACTTCCCTGTTCCTATCCCGAAAGCGCATTTCGAGGCATTGAGGCGAAGCTGATGGTTCTTTAAGATGCTGAAAACTTCTCTCAAGTCTGTAAGATGGTCTGTAGCGAACTTGCTCTTGACTACCATATCATCTATATAAGCTTCCATGGTTTTTCCCAGTTGGTCCTTGAACATCCGAGTGACCATCTGCTGGTAGGTTGCCCCGGTGTTCTTGAGGCTGAACGGCATCACTCTTCCCTGTTCCTATCCCGAAAGCGCATTTCGAGGCATTGAGGTGAAGCTGATGGTTCTTTAAGATGCCGAAAACTTCTCTCAAGTCTGTAAGATGGTCTGTAGCGAACTTGCTCTTGACTACCATATCATCTATATAAGCTTCCATGGTTTTTCCCAGTTGGTCCTTGAACATCCGAGTGACCATCTGCTGGTAGGTCGCCCCGGTGTTCTTGAGGCTGAACGGCATCACTCTGTAGTAGTAAGTTCCTCTCGGAGTGATAAATGCTGTCTTTTTTTGATTCGGACCGAACAGTGGTATCTGATGATAACCACTATAAGCGTCCAGAAAACTCATGCGCTCATGCCCTGCTGTTGAGTCTACTAGTTGATCAATGTGAGGCAGAGGAAAGCTATCTTTAGAGCAGGCTTTGTTCAAGCAAGTGAAGTCAACGCAAACTCTCTATTTTCCGTTCTTCTTCTTGACTACAACTGTGTTGGACAGCCATTGCGGGTACTGAACTTCCCTGATTACTCCTGAAGCCAGGAGTTTTTCAACTTCGGTAATTACTGCTTTGGTGTGCTCGACTGAGGATCTCTGACTTTTTTGCACAATGGGTTGAGCTGAAGGGTTGATGTTGAGCTTGTGGCAAGCAAATTATGGGTCCAGCCCTGGAGTATCATATGTTGACTATGCGAATACCTCCATATTTTCCCTCAGCAGTTCCAACAGCTGAAGTTTCTCATCAGCGTCTAGTGAGGTACCGATAAGGAAGTACTTTTCTGGGTCATCCTCTCTTACCAAGACTTTCTCCAAATCCTCTACCATCTTTTCCTCTGGGGTTCTCCCTACATCTTCCAAGGCTAGCTGTTTGGCCACTTCTACCATCTATACCCGATTGCAGAGCTACTTTGCCTTTAATGCTGCCATGAAGCAATGTTTGGACGCAACTTGATCCCCTGAGATCTGCTCTACTCCGTGTTCCGTTGGGAAACGGATGAGCTGGTGGTAGTTTGAAGGGACTGCCTCCATTTGATGAATCCATGGGCGGCCAAGCATGGCGTTGTAAGAGGATGGTGTATTAATAACCAAGAACTCTATCTGGAGGGTTTTTGTTCCCGCCATGACTGGCAACACTATTCTGACAAGCGGCCATTCTGGTTGTGAATTGAAACCGACCAACGGGGCTGCTGCTGGGGTGAGGTGCTACTCGGAGAGACCAAGCTTTCTGAACAAATCATAATACAATATGTCTGCTGCACTGCCTTGATCTACTAGGACTTGTTTTACGTCAAATCGTTTCCCAATTCCCACAGTTATAATCAGTGCATCAGTATGTGGGTGCTGTATGCCTTCTAAATCTTTCCCAGTAAATGAAACAGTGCACAAGGGGGATTTGGGTACTGTACGTACCTTTTTCGATACAGGCTCCACTGAAATGACCCTCTGAATTTGCGCAGCCTTAGCGATCTCTTCTTTCAGTGCCTCATCAGATTCCTGAGTCGCTGTCCTGTGGATCACATTTATTATCAACCGAGGTGGGTGCTCAACATTCGGTTTTGGTAGCGGTTTTCCCAGTTCGGCCACTTCCTTATCCTGATCAATGTAATCCCTTAGGTGCCCGGTTGCCACTAGGTCTTCCAAGTGTTGCTTCAATGCCCTGCAGTTCTGAGTCATGTGCCCCCTGTTTTGGTGGTAGGTGCATCTGAGCTTCTGATTGCGCCGAGCTGGATCTCCCAACATTTTCGACGGCCAAACAAAGAAGGGCTCTCTCTTGATCTTTTCCAGGATTCGATAGATTGGCTCTTTGAATACAGTCACAACGACTTCATGGAATTTGGACTTATCCACTTCATTCACTGCAATCCCTCGGTGTTCTCCTCGATCTGTTCTCTTCTTGTGCCGAGCTGTTTGTTCTGCTGACACTACCTCGATAGGGATCTGATCATCTTCGAGACGAGCATACTACTCAATCCTGGCACGCAAATCTTTCAAAGCTGTGGCCGGCACTTGGTAAGTGATTGTCTCAGCTTACTTTCCGGGCGCAGACCCTGTTTGAAGGACATAACGACCATTTGTTCCCTGCACACATTTTCCTCAAGGTCATTGTACTCTTCCCAGTACCTTCTGGCATAATTGCGCAGCGTTTCCTCCTGCTTCTTTCGGAGACCGAACAGTGTATCCGGCTCCTTCGGGATCTTAGTGTTGGAGACGAACCTGGCTAGGAACTCTTCAGAGAGCTGCTTCCAGCCATAGATCGATCCAGCGGGGAGACGATCGAACCATCGAAGTCCAGTTTCTCCCAAGCTGGATGGGAAGACTTTACACATCAGTGCCTCATCTCAGTTCCATAGGGACATCATCTGTCTATAATGGCTAATATGTGTCAGCGGGTCCGACTTCCCGTCGTATGAAGTGAACTTTGGTGGGGTGAATTTCTTTAGAGGTCTCATGGTCTCAATCTCCGGGGAGAATGGCGAAGAGACGAGCCTGTCCAGCGCTCGGTGTTCTCTCTGGTGAACAGTATGGTCCAGGTGATCCTGATGTTGTTCGTTTTTCTTATTGCCAATCAACCAAGTACGAAGGGCCTGAGGAGGGTATTCAGTCTGTTGGCTAACTATCTTCTGCCTCTTGGCCCTTCTCCGGCGTGACCCACGGGTGTGACTGCTTGTTGCCTCACTCTGTACTGGGATAGGCTGGCTTTGTTGCCCAGACTCATTCCTGGGGAACTTCTTCATTGGTGGCTCTCTAGATGAGCTCCTTCGTCGCAAATGAGAGGGCTCCGCTTCCGTCTTCTTTTTCGTCGGATCGCCCAGCACCCTCTTAAGTTGGGCTTTCAACTCCTGTATCTCCATCCCCATGGAGTCTATGATTCGATCTCTATAATCCTTTTCCAGAAGAAAGTAATGAGAAGAACCTCCAGCGAAGGGTAATCGATGCTCGACGGATTCAGGGGTTCGATTATTGTTTCCAGTTTGTTCCTTCGGGACTGCTGGGAGTGCCAAACCTTTGTCTTTCGTTTTCTCCGTCTGTGGAGTATGTGTCGAAGACGAAATGTCCTCAATCCCCATCGCCGGAACTGAGTGCAGAGCTCAGAGATAAAGTGATCCACGTTCACCGCACCAATTGTGCGTACCGGATTCCGCAGTAGATAAAAGTAGATCGGGGATTCGCACTCGGTTGGACTATCCAGGGATTGAGGTTCCTACCACAAGAAGCATCGTTAGAGCTGCCCGGTCGGGGTTGGTCGGATAACCCCTCCAGTGTTGGAATTAGTGATCGGAGAGAGAATGTATATCGAGTTGAGCTTGTAGTTTTACTTGGAATCGTTCAGTTACCTTCAATGTGAAGTTCATGTTGTATATATAGCGTTTCTTGCTTGCTTCTCAAGGTGGGTTCATGGAGTTTGGATGCTGCCAGGTGTCCTTTTAGCATAGCTCAAGGTGGGGGACCACCTGGTAGTTGTGATTGAATGCATATACTCATTGTAGTCATACTGATAACAAACCACATTCCTTTGATTCAACAACTTCTGTGACTCTAGGTGTAGGGGATCAGCTGAGGTGGCAACTTGCACATGTACACATTCACAACTTTCACATTTCCTTGCGAGGTTTCCTTAGCTCGATACCGCTGTGCCTCAGCTCGGCATCATTATGCCTTGTCTCGGCCTTTTACAGGATCATTCATAGAGATAGGCTGATCCATTCGGATATCTTTGTATGGGCTCGGCCCATTTTCTGCTCAGCCCATAGGTTCAGTCTCGCAGCTCGGCCTAGCCCAGCAACACGGCTGGACTAGCCTTTCCACTGCGGGTTGGGCCTAAGTGCTTGAGGACCTGGGTGGACTGTTGATCATAAAGTTGGGCTCAATTGGTTTGCTCATATATTCATCCAGCCCGCTTGGATTCAGACTTTAGTGGATTGGGCCGGCCCAAGGCTTGGACCCGACCCATTTCACATTTAGCCCCTTCAATAATGATGAAAGTTTTGTGACCCTTGAATTACACTTAGAATAAAGCACCACACACTAATCAAGGTAATCCAAGGATTATAAATCTTTCATAATCATTTTCATGAAAAAAATTTCATGATCCTTAACTTTTCCCTTATCTTTTTTTAAAACCACCTTTTCACCACCTGATCCCCTTCTCTCTGTCTCTAACAAATATTCTTCCCTACCCACAAAAACATCATCATAATGCCTATTCCATCATCATAGAATCCAGTAAGAAAATCCTCTTTTTACCCCAAACCCCATCTGACCATAATATATTTTATCCTATATAGTTTATATAAACATATATTTATATATATTGAATTCAATTTTTTTTTATTATTATTTTCTAAAATATCAAAAACATATTATACCAATTTATATAAACACACCCAAAAAATATGTACAAATACATAAAATTATATAATTATAAAATACAACAAGTTAATAAAATATTAGTGATATAAAATAATTTGGCCAAAATAGGTGAGGTTTGGAATTAAAGCTGGCATATTCTAATTTTCATCATGGGTGTTCAAAAGAAAGTGCCCAAGTCTTAGGATTGGTCAAAATGGGGTGTCTATAGTTGCCCCTCTTTGACAGAGCTTGAAGTCATTTTCACGACATGAGTGAATGTCAAAGCCCGAAGACGACCCTTTTGACAAGGCCGTAAGACTTGGGCAAATAAACAAGATGCAATGCATGTGGTTGAACCAGAAGATTGCTTACGTATCTGTAGCACGCGCCCGCGAGGCCCTCGCGCTACTACAGTTCGGACTCAATTTGTGTCACGGTTCTTAATCTGAACCAAAGAGTCCAAATCTGGCAAATCGTTTTGAGAAACAGATTTTTGAAATGCAATCAAGACAATGATGTGACACTGAACGAAAGCATAAATCAGAGCAAAACAAATCAAACCGTGTTTCACACGAGGAATAGTGAAATCCAATCGCTCCGTTTGCGAGAGGAGGCATAGTGAAATCCAAATGCGTCTTTTTGCGAGAGGAGTGGAGTAGGGTGAAGTCCAAATGTGTCTTTCTGCGAAATGAGGAAGGTGCAGTCCAAACGCGTCTTTTCGTCAGAGGAGGACGGTGCAGTCCAAACGCGTCTTTTCACGAGAGGAGGAGGGTGCAGTCCAAACGCGTCTTTTCACGAGAGGAGGAAGGTGCAGTCCAAATACGTCTTTTCGTGAGAGGAGGAAGGTGCAGTCCAAACGCACCTTTTCACGAGAGGAGGAAGGTACAGTCCAAACACGTCTTTTTGTGAGAGGAGGAAGGTGCAATCCAAACGCGTCTTTTTGCGAAAGAAGGAGGGTGTAGTCCAAACGCGTCATTCTGCGAGAGAATGAAGGTGCAGTCCAAACGCGTCTTTTTGCGAGAGGAGGAAGGTGCAGTCCAAACGCGTCTTTTTGCGAGAGAAAGAGGGTGCAGTCCAAACATGTCTTTTCATGAGAGGAGGAGAGTGCAGTCCAAACGCGTCTTTTCGCGAGAGGAAGACGGTGCGGTCCAATCGCGTCTTTTCGCGAGAGGAGGAAGTGCAGTCCAAACGCGTCATTTTTCGAGAGGAGAAAGGTGCAATCCAAATGCGTCTTTTTGCGAGAGGAGGAAGGTGCAGTCCAAACGTGCCTTTTCGCGAGAGGAGGAAGGTGCAGTCCAAACGCGTCTTTTCGCAAGAGGAGGAGGGTGCAGTCCAAACGCGTATTTTCGCGAAAGGAGGAAGGTGTAGTCTAAATGCGTCTTTTTGCGAGAGGAGGAAGGTGCAGTCCAAACGTGTCTTTTCGTGAGAGGATGAGGGTGCAGTCCAATCGCGTATTTTCGCGAGAGGAGAAGGGTATAGTCCAATCGCGTCTTTTTGCGAGAGGAGGAAGGTGCAATCCAAACGCGTCTTTTCGCGAGAGGAGAATGGTGCAGTCTAATCGCGTCTTTTTGCGAGAGGAAGAAGGTGCAGTCCAATCGCGTATTTTCGCGAGAGGAAGAAGGTTCAGTCCAATCGCGTATTTTCGCGAGAGGAGGAAGGTGCTGTCCAATCACGTCTTTTCGCGAGAGGAGGAAGGTGCAGTCCAAACGCGTCTTTTCCCAAGAGGAGGAGGATGCAGTCCAATTGCGTATTTTCGCAAGAGGAGGAAGGTGCAGTCCAATCGCGTATTTTCGCGAGAGGAGGAAGGTGAAGGAATCCAAACGCGTCTCACGCGAGAGGATAAATAATGAATGAATCCAAACGCGTCTCACACGAGAGGATAAATAATTAATGAATCCAAACGCGTCTCACACGAGAGGATAAAAGATGAATGAATCCAAACACGTCTCATGTGAGAGGATAAAGGTATGGTAGAATTATTAGGGGTAACCTTTACATGTTCCTAATCATATTCACAACTTTTCCTATTCTCCAACGGGGTGACAGACTAGGTTGGTTTAGTAACCAGAATTGAGGCGCATACACGCTTCCTCAACCTATGGGGCTGCCATATAGATTTCAAGCCGGGGATACACCCCTGGGTATTTAAACTAGACTTTAGTCTCGAAAATTCCGAACCTTTGCGTTCTAGGCATCGCCATTCGAACTCTAGTTTCCACCATCGCAGTTGGTCTCCTAAGAACTCATTACAAACACGGTTAGGTGGTTATACCAGACCGCATGAAGTCGTTCGGGCACGAAAAACACCAAAGAAATTGCAGCTCTAGAGGATTTAAGGTCTCCTAGACCATTGAAGTCGTTCGGGCACGACAAACACCAAAGGAATTACACCTTCAGAGGATTTAAGGTCTCCTAGACCAGTGAGTACACAAGATAGTGCGATGGGCAAAATAGCGTGATGCACAGTACAACGCGATGCGCCAAATAGTGTGATGGATTGAGATTGTGCGGTAGACGCTTGAAGTGAAATCAGTGTGCGATAGATGCACAAAATGAAAGGCGAAAAGATGGTATGAACACCAAATGCACATACCCCCCCTTCTTTAAAAAATATATATATATATGGGCATATACACTGATATATGCGGGAGATATATATGGTATACATACGCAAAACACGCAAAAAGAATGCAACAAAATGCATGGTTATGGGGATAAGGGGTTTCAAACCTCTGACCTCAGGATTAGCTCCTTGGTTCCTCAACCACTTAGCCAAACCACTGAGCCAAGCCACTCCTGTGACAGGATATGCAAACAAATATATATACATAGATATGAGACATATATACATAAAACCAGAACAAAACAAAAAGAAACAATTGTTGTGGGGGCTTGAACCTCTGACCTCAAGCTCAACCTCTGATCTCATGCTTAGTCTCCCAGTCCTCAACCACTAAGCTGAACCACTTCTTTTGAC